GAGAGAGAGAGAGAGAGAGAGAGAGAGAGAGAGAGAGAGAGAGAGAGAGAGAGAGAGAGAGAGAGAGTTCTTCTTCTTCCTCGTCTAAGTCCATCTCTCCCTCACCCTCTCGCTACCTGACTTCTCAGTATCTGCAGACTACGAGTGGGAGAGAGATTGGTGACTATGGGACTTGACGACATTTGGATTCAGACTCGACATTGGGATTGAGACATTGAACGAGGGATTATTTGGGACCTCTACCAAAGACTTGGAGTTGACGACATTCTCATCTTCCCCCTCTTCTTCGTCTGATCCCCTGCTCTTCGTCTCTGTATGGTCCAGACCTGGCGCATTCTTCCTGTGTGTAGCGCCGGGCCCTTCACACCTTGCAACGATGATGATGTATGTTGGGTCCGCATTGCGACATTGATTGGGTTGATCATTGGTATCCTGGCATTCCGCTGCGCTGTCTTGTACTATGTGAGGGAGGTCGGTCCTTGTTCTGGTTTGCAACATTACAGTATGCAACACTTTGGTATCTCCTCCTCCTCTCACATGGGTGATGTATAATGGGATGCCGTGTCAGTCCCGGTCAAGTCAGGACTTATATCCGAGTTTTCCACTGCACTACGAAGTGCCATTTTGTATGTATCAGGATGAACACTGCTTGTTGAGATTCCACTACCACTGCATTGTCCATTCAGTCCTTTTTATCACAATTGCGGATCCTTGGCTGTACATACATTGCCCAACTGGGCATGTATCAAGGGTCTGCTCAGCCAATCCCCTGGTTCCCAGGGTAATCAATGCTGGCAGGCGAGCATACAAACTTACGTGGCTGCATACACTTATCTCAGATGCTCTGGTTCTCTATGTCAAGGGACGCTGGACCCATTTTCCAGCAGGTGATGGCCCCCACCAATAGATGGGGCCTTCCCTGCAACGCTAGCAGTGGCTGCTCCTACCATGCTAGCGAGTGCGAGGACGGTTTACAAAAAACAAAACAAAACAGGTTCTCTAAACTTGTAACAGCCTTGAGGAGGTATGGTCATCCAACATAAGGGGCTTGCCGCACGGCACACGAAACGAGTGCATCTGAGCAGGAAAGGCAGCAACATACAGTTGTTTCGTTTTTCCTTTCGTGTCCCGTGCGGCAACGCCCTTACCGGCCCCTGATACATAGTATTATTTACTCATCTTAAGTCCATCAGGATTCAAAGTTACATCTGCTTATCAACAGTGGATGGGGCTGGGTGAAGCTAGGGTTTTCACCACAGCAGAAACAGGTTTGGTTTGTTTATCAGCAGCTCATGGTGGACCTACTGGTCTTTTTAAGGAGGCGACGGCCATGAGATATCATCATCAAACCATCTGCTTCTTGTGGAGTTCCAACTCAAGTCTATATCCAACAGCTCATGGTTGTGGGGTGCCTTTTGGATTTTTACCAGAGCAGCAGAAACAGGTTTGGTCTGTTCATCAACAGCTCATGGCTGTACCATTCAGCCACCAGGGCTAGATGACGTTTGTTTGAGCTTTCACCACAGCAGTAATAGGTTTCACTGCAGGACACGCTCCAACTACGGGATTCACGGCACATGATTTGCCGATAGGATATCGGTGCAGAGGGCTTAGGAATTCCACGAAGATTAATCCTCCAACTTGCCCAAGCTTGGTTTCACCCAACTCAGCTCGCCTCGCTGTCGTGTTTCAAGAGAACTTTTAAGGGAAATATCAGGCATTACTGCAGTCGTGTGGTTGCAAACATCGGTAGCACAGCGGCGCACCGATCATTAAGAAAGTGTGAGCTGTTATTAACACATCATAAAGTCGATCAGCAACCACCACATGCAGGTTCATGTGTCGCTCCAGGCCTAAGTACCTGCCACCTTGAGATCCAGAAAGTAGAATCGCGGCCAGCTCGAAGGAAGACTATACCACCAACAGACAAGTCCCTTCTTTTTCTTCAACAGAAATACTGACCTTGCCAGCACCAGGGTAGCATATCCATCAAAGCTGATCAAGGCCTGTGTACGTCAAATTAACATACCATACCATTGGCCTTAGGACAGATAAAAAACGAAGACTATGAGTCCCGGATATCTTACAATGAGTCGGTGAAACTCTGACGAAACAGTTTGTCACAGCCCCTCGTTTGTTGTCCTCTTCTCCCTCTCTGCCTACGGTTTACCGGGCAGCTCTGTTTGACTATATATATATATATATCGTCAATATGAAACACAACTGCACTACAGTACTCTTATCTTACACGCAATAAGTACTCGAAACTACCGCACTGTGTTTCACATTGTTCACCTTCTCCAGCAACCTTGTCCTTTCCACTTAACTTTTCTAGTGCTATGATCTACCCCGATTTACCAACCCTATGTGAAAACACAGCTCCCAAGGCCATCCAGGCCAGGTTTCACCTATCATCAGACATGATAGTGAAAGAGTTCATCTTCTCTCAAGCCTCTTAACACAGCACACCTCCCAAAATGTGATAACACTTGACAACAACTTGTCGGTGTCCTTACCTGCCTTCCAAATCCTCTAGAATGACACATCCATGCCACTAAGCCTTCTCTGCAATGTCGGCTTCGGCATGTAATGTACATTCTATGTTCACAGTAAAAAATAGACTCCACCATTACTCCAGGATGGTGGATGTGGTTAGCTGCTGTCCAACTCCAAGACAGTTTGCTAGGTTCCTGTCAATTCCTGCCAACTCCTGCCCTTCAAACACTTCCAGGCGGGATAACTCTCTCTCTCTAAGCGAAGAATAAATCCTGCTCCCCTGGCTGTGACTAGGCACGCACACATCACACTTCCAGGCAGGATAACTCTCTCTCTCTAAGCGAAGAATAAATCCTGCTCCCCTGGCTGTGACTAGGCACGCACACATCGTATTGTGGACCCTTTCATCGCCTCCTCGAAAGCGCCACTATACTTACCAGGAAACGGTCCTGGAACAACAAGAATAAACCAAACCAAGCCTAACTGGCAAATCAAACCCGACCAACGGAGGTGAACTAACGAAACCAACCGAAGGAAACGTGTTCGTCAAACCATAGTGACACAACAAACTCGAGTTCGAACTAGGAAATATAACCCATAACCTTCCTCCAGTAACACGGGACGAATGATTAGAAATCACTTCTGCCTGATAGGGCAAGAAGCACCCTCCCCCAGCAGAGGAAATATAGAGACAAAGTCTGCTCTCCTTGCAGGAATGTTTGGTCGTCACTGTCATCAGCAGCAGTTGTGCCCAGCAGAGGAAAGATAGAGACAAAGTCTGCTCTCCTCGCAGGAATGTTCGGTCATCACGCACTGTCATCAGCAGCACTTGTGCCCAGCAGAGGAAATATAGAGACAAAGTCTGCTCTCCTCGCAGGAATATTAGGTCATCACGCACTGTCATCAGCAGCAGTTGTGCCCAGCAGAGGAAATATAGAGACAAAGTCTGCTCTCCTCGCAGGAATGTTCGGTCATCACGCACTGTCATCATCAGCAGTTATGCAGCCTTTAACTGACACCCTTTGTTGGATGCTGCTAATTAAGCCCCCACCGCCGAGTCGATCTCATGACACCAGTTACTGCAACGGACAGCGAGCAATTTCGCAAACCTTTGCAGGAGTTGATGCTGCACAAACTCAAATGGAACCTATGAATAGTTTTGGCAAATTGTCAAAAGGATGTGCACAGCACTTTGCCCCATCATAAACATTCCAGCTGGTGTCAAGCTCCTACTGGGTTCTAGGTGTAGAATGCCTGTTGGTCCACCTTTGCTGTTAGTTTTCTATATATATATATATTATATACACTACATTCAAACTTGCGACGACTGAAAATGATTCAGCTGGCCTAGACAAAAGTAAACCATACCTCAGCAGCCTGACCAGGAATGGCTGCTGACAACTGCAGATGGTCTGCAGCAGAAATGGGTACTGAGACCTGCAGATGGTCAGATCAAGTTCCCAACTGCGGGTGAACAGCCCCACAAGCCTGAGGTATTACTACTAACTATAGGCTAAGCTCAAAAGTACCCACTTTCCGCTGAATGGCCCACACGCATATTACCCACAAAGGAAAAAGCCAGACCCCGCTTGCTCTATCAGACTATCACTAACGAGTAGCGCGATGCACATGTACAATGTGTTGCACTGCTGCTATCCAGTGCGGCAATCTCCTGTTCTACAAATAGAGATTTCCATCGCCTTCGGGATGGCCTTGGAGGCGGCGTCTTGACTTTTCATCTCACCACTTCTAATGGGGTTTCCATTCTTCTTCTTCGTGCACAAATTTTCCCCCACACCCCCGTGGCAATCTTCTGGAAGGGTTTCTGACGAAAAAACCGTGATATTCAGTAAATACTCAATATCCAATGACTTTGCATCTGCTTCTGAGAACCGCCTGCAGTCGGCTTTAACCGCCGCCATGCTGCCGTAATTCTTTCCCGCAAAAACTACGTCGTGTCCGACAGAATTGCGGCAATTCTTCTTGCCGTTACTTGAAGTCGGTACTGAAGAGTTGACAGGTCCATGTATTCCTCCTGCACATGGCAGCCCTCAAAAGTATCAGTAATTGAAAAAAAACACTCATCCAGAAATGGACAATTCCAGCGATGACAGACAATCAAGAGAAGAGAGCAATCCATCACTTCTCCTGCCTGCCCGCACTTGGGAATCGAGCTCCAAACATACAAAAACCCTACCTGACTTACACCTCCACATGCCGTTGCCAAAAAGTCCAAGCATAATCGCAAAAGAAGATCATAGTGTTAGGGCATACTCACACTAGGACTTTTTCCTACAAAGCTCTGGACGTGATTGCAGTCAGATTCATCCAGGTCTGGCCGTAATTGAAGTCAGAAACATTAAGGAAAGTGCTTGTGCGAGTATGCCCTTACACGCACAAGGGAAAATACAGTGAGCTAAATTGCAGTGAGAACAATAAATAGACTAACACGCTCTGACGATTTCAAAGAGAATATCAGTGAATGAATACAACCAATCAGCAAGCATGTAGAGCAAGGCATGGTAGGGCAGGCGTGTAGCCAGTGAGCTGCATGGGAGTAGCAATGACGAAGAGGGCGGTACAGACTCGGACGGCAGTACAGACTCGGATGACTTGAAAACGAGGAACAGTGGTGAGAAAGCACCCCTCCCTGCTCCCCCCGCCCCTCCCCCAACACACTTTTCGAGGAGTAGCAGCAACGAAGATGCTGATGCTATTGATAATAAGGGTTGCACCCGAAGTGAACGCAGTATACATTCTCACGATTCAAAAATAAGCAAACAAAAAATGGTGTAAAGCACCCGGAAGGCATGGGCATAGTGCGGAATTGAAAGCAATAAGGAGCGCTGATTGGCGTAAAGGTGCTGATGCGATTGATAATGTGGGTCGCTCCCAAAGTGAGGGCAGAACACACATTCTCGCGATTTGAAAAGAAGCAAACAAAAATTGGTGAAAAGCACCCGGCAGGCATAGGCATAGTGCGTAATAGAAAGAAATAAGGAGTGCCGATTGGCATAATAATGTAGAATGGTAGACCATAGCGCATTCCACAAAGCGGATAAGAGATGACTCGGGTCATGCCCAACCGAACACACACACACAGTGAGATGCACGGATAATTGCTGACCTTGGACTTTGCATCTCGGTAGAGGACAGATTCCAGCCTCCGGAGCAGATCTATCCGCTTCATCAACCAGTCTGCTGAGAAGGTGGGTCGCTCCCAAAGGAGCTGTATCCTGAACAGACGGAGAAAGCACATGTCAAAATGGGGACCGGGAAAAAATGGAAACGACGTATCAAAGATAGTAAACATCAAACAGAAATCCCATTTACGATTTATCGCAAAGAATAGACTGAAGCTCGCCATTCAATTTGCCATGCAACCAGACCAGTCCGAACAACCCCCGGCAGATGGCGCAGGGAAGGCCTCTCTGGAAATTGAGGGAGCAAAAGAAAAACTTCTGGGCTCCAGCCGAGCACAACATCTATCAATGACGCACCCAAAGATAGAAAATTCCAAACACCACTTCATGATGGCTACCACCACTGTGATTATTTGTCAATTAGCAGAGATCATCACCTCCGTGTGGCTGAGCCAGGGATACCTCGCAAATATCCAACTCACAGGCTGCTACATCCACATCAACATCGTCAGTACCAGACAAGAGGGAAATACGAAGTCGCATAACTACCACAAATAGGGCACCAATAGACGGAGAAATGGGGCCGTTGCCACAGGGGTCGCTCTTATCAACCCAGCTAGCAGTGACCGCAGTTGGAAAAAAAAAGAAAAGGACACGGAATTCCTGCAAAGAGGGTGCAAGGACGTACTCTCTATATTCAACCACTGACAAATGCCCAGGTTTCACCACAAGGATTCACATTGGACCCTAAGTTAGGACTGCCCGCCCTTGAGTTGAATTGCAAGCCAGGTTCATCAGTTGGACGGGACAACCCACTGGCAATGCAGTCCACCAAAAGCCTCAGGTCCTTCACAGTCCAGCGCACACAGCTGCACAATAATAATATGATTGCTGCTTAGCTTATACTGCACCAGTTGTTCCAAGCAAGCTTTTTCCCAAAAGCACGCTGATTTCTGCCAGGCCTTAAACCATCGCAGTTGCACGCGCAGGGCAGACTTTAAGGGACGGGCACTACTCAGCTTTCCACGGGCTCATGTTAACAAGTGGGGCAATTTTTCAAAGGCTGGGCCAACAACTGGCGGTCTAAGCGGAATTCAAGAGGCCAAGTCCCACTAGCAACGTCGAGTTACCTCAAGGGCCGAATATTTGGGGAGATGTGCAGAAAATCGCGTTGAGTTTCCTCAACTCATATCTCCACAAATACGTCCAGATTCGTGCATTGAGGAAACTCAATGCTGCTAGTAGGACTTGGCCCCAGGACCGACACTGGTAAAGGGAAAAATGCATCCTTCAGCAAGAGAACGAAATGTGTCAGCTTGGAGCACAGTGGCACTTTCAGATCTAAAGGCCCCAGGACTAACAGCTTGGAGCATTGCATCTTCCCTACCAACTAATAACTCAATAAGCGTATAATCAAGGACACTACCTACTCAAACGATGTATGGCGGAATCGCCAATCGGACCATCCACAAATCAAAACCTTGGGTGGAAAGATCACATTACATGCCTACAATCCATCCCATAGTACGTAAGGCCACATAGCCAGGAGGTTAATTGCGATGAACCAAGCCATGGAACTAATAACTCAATAAGCGTATAATCAAGGACACTACCTACTCAAACGATGTATGGCGGAATCGCCAATCGGACCATCCACAAATCAAAACCTTGGGTGGAAAGATCACATTACATGCCTACAATCCATCCCATAGTACGTAAGGCCACATAGCCAGGAGGTTAATTGCGATGAACCAAGCCATGGGTCAGATCGCGGCCACTACAAGGGTTGTAGGGCCTCGCAGCACCACTCACCAAATTGAAAAAGGAAAAAATTATGGCAGGTGTACCCGGGCAAGTTGAAGGGGAAGGTAGATTTTGAATTTTCTCCATTTCACATATTCGATGAGTGGCGCAGCGAGGGGCGCTACTTACTGTCTTCACCCCAATACAACGCCTGGTCATTATCGCTGCATTTAGACCGAAAGTTGCCCCAAAGGGCCTCGCTCCACTACTCACGAAATGTGCAAAATGAGACTGAACCTTCCACTACAACATGGGTAGATACACCGCAATATTTTTGTCTTCTGTGCATGTGGCGAGCAGTGGAGCGAGGCCCAAATACAGCTGTAATGACCGGCCGTGAGGGAGCAGACCTGATCATCAGCATCATGAGAAGAAGAAATATCGAAAAAAGTTCAAAAAAGGAATATTTCCTCCAAGCCAGAACTCAGTCTGCCTTCGGCTCTGTACTCTGGCTGTGATGCCTTCTCCTTTCCTTTGATTTTTCCTCCTCTTTTTTCGTCATCCTTCGGCAAGGGCTATGCTAATCTTCTCTGAATCGTTCCAATTTCAACGGATGTCCCGGAGGACTGCCTCTCCATTTTCCGCAGTTCCGTTCTACTTCCCTTACCCAAGAAACAAATGTTCGTGCACAAGGCTCAATGCGAATTCGACATTTATAACAAACATGGGCCATTTTTATTTTTTTTTATTTTTTTTGGAAAGATTCAACCTTTATTACAAAGCCAGTAGTCTAGGCCAGGGACCTCACAATTCGACCCGGAGTTAACCTGGCAGCCTCGGCCTGCATTTTGGCCGGCGAATGGAACGCAACTATCGATCCTGCCACAGACCGTATATCCAGGTCCTCGGCTGGTCAGCTGTAGAGAGGCGACGGAATATTGGGCGAGAGCCTCGGATCTCTGGGATTCCCTCTTCTCGACTCCCCTTCCTGAACACCCCCATTAACTCGTATGGCCTAACATCCCAGCTCAATTCCACAAGACAGAGAAAACGTGGTGCGGAATGATCAGAAAGGTAACACCGTGGGCAACCTGGAAGGAACGGTGCTGCAGAACCATTGAGGGGGCAAGGCAGAAGGTATGGGCGGAGACAAGGACCTTGATTCAGGCAGAGATCCTTTGTAAGTGGCATAAGACGAGACACTCTATGCCAGATGACGAGGAGGAACAGAGAAGAATCGAGGCAAAATTCACTAAGGTGTGACTTGCAGGAGGCAAAGTAGCAGAGATAAACAACGTTCGCATAGGGTGGAAAGACTGGCAATAACTCAGAAGCAGGGTGGAGAAGGCAGAGATCCCAGCCAGCAGACGGACAAGATCCATCACAGGCCACGTAATATTGAAGGGCAAATTCCTAGAGTCATCTTCCGTAGCTTCTTTTACCTTTCTTGCTCATTATCATTTATCTGACAGGTACCATGATACAGTGGACCTGAGAGAAAAGGTGGAAGTAAGGCAAGCTGACAGTCAATCCTCCACGATGCTGGAGTAATCAATGCTGGTCAGGGTTCCTTCAGCCAGACGGAAAGCGTTGAGTGTGTTTCATGATGTAGTATTTTGTTCGGACTTGCTGGTGGAATAGGAAGCGGACTCATGCTCCCCAGAATGGAAATGGAGCCAGGGCCATAAGGACCTGTGCTATGAAAAAATCAATGCAAATTGTTTGTTTTTTTTTTCTTCTTTTTANGCTCCCCAGAATGGAAATGGAGCCAGGGCCATAAGGACCTGTGCTATGAAAAAATCAATGCAAATTGTTTGTTTTTTTTTTCTTCTTTTTATTTTTGGGGGGAAGGGGGGGGGAAGAGAGGGGGGGGGGGGGGGGTTCCAATCTATTCGTGGGGAGCAGCACGTGCTGGGAACCGGGCCCAGCGTCCCATATGAAAAATACAACACAATACAACAAGATTGAAAACTACTTCACCTTTTTTTTGTTTTCCCCCCCCCACAAACCTACTACGCCTTTCGTTCTAGTACTGCCTTTACCTGACAGATAAAAAGGTATTCGAAAAGGCAATCGATTCATTGTAAAAGCGATGAATCTTTCCAGTTTCGGTGGGAAGATGCACTCGTATTTTTTTGTTTTGTTTTTTTTTTGTGGCGAAGACCTTACCTTACCTGCTCAAGTTGCGCCATCCGAACACGGATCATCGACGTAGTGTTTTTTTTTTTTTTTTTTGGGAAAACATCGACGGAGTTTTGATGGTGTGAGACTTACCATCCTCTCTCATATCTATATCTATAATAAAAGTCGAAGTAAGACCTTGCAGGGCACAGAAGGCAACGACGGTGGAAAATCGAGACACAGAAACGTGCGTGCAGATTTCTGTCACAACCAAACCACCCTCCTGCAAACGATTTTTTTCGCAAAAATTGCACATCTATACGTCCGTCATAGACACGTGAAACGAAGAAGCGAAATCGTTACCATAGCCGCAGAGTGCTTTAACTAAGAACACAAAAAATATCATTCGTCGACATTACTCAAGGGTGCAGTACCTGGAAGCATATGCACTCCTGGGACAAATGCAACTTAGGTAGCCCATGAAATTTTCTACCATCGACTAGTTCCAAGCACTGGGGAAAAAAAGCAAGTTACCAGCAAACATGAATATATATATCGTCAAATAGAACTGCCCGGTAAACCGTAGGCAGAGAGGGAGAAGAGGACAACAAACGAGGGGCTGTGACAAACTGTTTCGT